ATTGCATGACGTCAGGCAGTCCTGTCTATTTAATTTGCTTGTTTAAGAAACACAGGTCCGGTTTTAGCCATATTGAATGAGTGGAAGTTTTGCTTCGACGAAAACCTAATGATTAGGGTCAGCATGGGTTATACAGATACAGACTCAGAATTAAAAACTGTTGTAAAATTCACATCAATTGATGTTTCAGGAAATTGAGATTGAAGTAGTTATTGATTTAGTTACACACAGCTCTCCGCTAATTCGCTTAGGACACATTATGCAGGCTGTATCTGTTGAAAGTCGATCAGTTTGTTTAAAAATTCATATTCATCGTTATAATTATTAGATTCTGATTGGAATTGTTAATAATAGGCCCTAGGCATTTATAAATTTTCCATTCGAAAGGACGAGAGGCGAAGAAGTGGTTGAGTTGGAAAACAAGACATTTGACAACGATTTGTGAACCTACATAAAATATTGTTGTTGGCTAGTCACAAGAAATATTTAAATATTCATAGGGAGAATTATATTTAATTCATAAGGTATAGTCGAAAAAAAATTTTCAGTAATAGAATCCCCTTATTTGGATTAATTGAGTACACAATAGGCTAATACAAAAGCAGATGTGTGAAAACAATACTTCAATGTAAATGTTCAATGTACTTCCAAGTTCCATATTCTAATAAGCAGACGTAACACAACTAAAAACCCAGCTAACTTGTACAGACAATATAACCTACCTGTTAACAATCGCAGCAATACAAACCAAATACCGTAAATATTATCACTATTTAGACAAGACTAGCTGTGTACCCGTTCTACGCACGGGGATCTTATAATATTCAGTTGAAACCTTCTTATATAACGAACAGCAGTTGGTTTGCATATTTTAAGATATGCTGGCCAAACTATTATACATAGCTTCATTTTATGTTGTTTTTTGTTGTTCCGGATCGGTATGACAATCAATAAAAGGTTAAATTACCTCTGTGTCTGCCGGTCGATCCTATAACGGTAGGCTTACTTTTATTTTTACTATCTGATCTCGTTTGCATGGCTCAATCACGTCCTGGTTGAAGTTCGTTCGCTACGCTCACTCACCTGTATGTTGGAGCTCGTTCGCTGCGCTCACTTTCCTTCAGGTTAGCTCGTTCGCTACGCTCACTTGCCTTCAGGTTAGCTCGTTCGCTACGCTCACTTGCCTTCAGGTTAGCTCGTTCGCTACGCTCACTCGCCTCCAGGTTGCAAATTAGCTGTTGTCATAAATGTAAAAGAAATAATAGTGCTAGTGCTGCACCCTGTTGGTAATCCTTGTAACTTTAATGCTATTGAACATCACAGAACAGAACCAACTTGTTTAATTGAAACAGCTGTTAAGATTCAATAATTTCATTTCTCATAAGGTTAACATGGGCTTCCAGAAATTCCACGTCAAAAATCGACAAAAACTTGATTTTCAAGGGTTTACTGTTAAATATCTAACTGTCTCATATTCGATGAAATACGTCTAAAACCATCTCATATATGTATAGTATTTGGAAAATAAGTTTCAGGCGGGACAGTGCTATAGTTATTGAGGAGTAGTTGTAATAAAGTGTGTATTTTAGCGTTACCAAGAGAATGACAGATAGACAGACAGACAGACAGACAGACAGACAGACAGAAATTGAGATAAGGTTTGATTCGGTTTCTCTGACCTATGAAATGTAAAAATAACCAAAAAGTTCATTATTCTAAGCAATGTACAGACAAAACTCTAATTTTATTTATATAGATGACACAATCAAACCTACCAAAACAAACAAAACACTAGAACCTCCCACACTTTACTTATCACAAGCCATGAACTGATTTCATGATAATTACTCAACTGAGTTGCCAAACTTAATTATAACGTAACATCTTAAAACCGAACGATTCCGGTTACGTAAAGTACTTAAGGCAATAGACCCTTGTCAGTCAGACATTAAACAAGGCATTAAAGACCGTTGAACAGGGCATAAACTGTTCAGCGAGCAAGATGTGCATGGGAAACACATTAACTAGTGAAATGGTTGAATGACTACCACGTGCACTGGTGTGATCATCTAGAAATGTGGCCCAAAGTTCATCATGACACTCAGTGAATTGAACAGTTTGAATTTCATGTAACCCTCTAGGAATCCTATAATTGCATTGTTTTGTTTTGCTGCGTCTAAGTCTTGCTGGATACATCTTGGGCTTAAAGTTTAAATTTAATGAAAAGCTCTAGCAATCCTATAATTGCAATGCTTTGTTTTGCTGCATCTAAGTCTTTCTGACAAATCTTGGGCTTAAAGATTGAATGTCACGAAAAGCTCTAGCAATCCTATAATTTCATTGCTTTGTTTTTCTGCGCCTAAGTCTTGCTGGAGACCTCTTGGGCTTAAAGTTTGAATTTCATGAAAAGCTCTAGCAATCCTGTAATTTCATTGCTTAGTTTTGCTGCGTCTAAGTCTTGCTGGACACATCTTGGACTTAAAGAAGCCCTCTTTTTTCTAACACTCTCAGGTAAACAAGGGATCAAAGTTTCCTATAAGAACCTATTTATATATATATGCGATCCAAGCCCTATCATTGAGTACGACTATGTAATACGTAGCTCAATTTGATAATCAACTAGTTGTAGGCGAATACATCAGACAGGTTTTCTACTAGATCAATAATTTTAAATATGTTTTTTAATCATCTTCAACATAATTTATGTGATGCTGCAGTTTGTAAAATGCATTTAAACTTTGGGTGATTCATCGAACTTTTACGCTTCAAGTCCGAAGTGGCCTTTTTAAAGAATCATCCACTCTTTTACAATTCTTCTGCATACAATGGTTTGTTTCCTTAATCTTTGCCAACTTCACAAGTCACGTATATACCCTTGACGTTAATTTCCTAGCGGGCCGGACATAGCCCCAACTGATAAGGACGAAGGTTAATTACAATAATTGTAACTTTTTTTGGAAGCTCACGTGACCTAACGCTATAAGATGGCACAGCCTTGGGCGTAACATTGGTGAGTGGAAACGCTCTCTTAAGTCAAGATTTTATCTTTCTAGGTCGGCTAATTGGAATCCACGCTTATTGTATGCACCTTTGTATTTAATAACTGTTAGTGTTAATGTTACTTGTTAACACTTTTTTGCTAATCATACAGTCAAAGTTGCGCTATTATTACTTTCTGTATTAGTACAAGTATGTAAGTGTAATTTGTGCTGTTTTATAAATGAAACCATCGCATTAATATTAATATTTTTTTGTAAATCGCACCACATAAGGATGTACATTATGATTTACAAAAATATATTAATATTAATGCGATGGTTTCAATTATAAAACAGCAAAAATTACACTCCTTACTGTCCTTACATTGGTTACATCTTTTTCAAAATTAAATTGAAAAAACTCTACAAAGAGATATTAAATATTTTGTGTTTAGGTTTGATTGAATATTGTCATACTATGCAATATGCTAAAATTCAAGCGATGGGCATTGTGCAACTCTTCAGATAAACAAATAATAACTTACACTTCGGAAATTTCCATAAGAATTAACAAACTTTGTTCCCAGTGCTTCTAGCCACTCGTTGCCAGATTTCTGTTGATTTATCAAATCTAATATGCCCTAAGCCCTGGCTAATCTTATTTTCACATTATTATCTTTCGCATTTATCGATAACCTTTTAATTTTTATTAGTAAGCTTTTAAATTTTAGCTTCGATTATTTATTAGCCATTATTTTTCTAATTGCAATTAGAAACTCGTAAACAATCTTTACGCTAGCCGCAGCCAATGAGCCAATCAGCTGATTGAAGGGTTTGTGCGGTTTCCTCAGGATCCGTCCAGTGTTTAGTGTTTACAAGCCTTATTTCCTCGTCTAACGCTGAAGGTCAGCTGTGTCTTGAGTCATAGAGGAAACCGATAAACACGAGGGTAACCTTTCTCTCACTCTCACTACTCTATGGAGTTGTATACAATATACAATGTGTACACTCTTTACTGCTACTGTGTTCCTATATAGGGCTAGAGTAAACAAATTAATGCAACTGACTTTGATATCGTAGAGTAAAACTTTATTTCTAAATCAATTCAAAATGTTTGAATTTAGCGGCAAAATACACAACTCCAAAAATATTATATACGGCCTATACTGATACTGGTTATGGACTTATTTATGGGGGAATGTTTAACTAAACTGCTGATAACAACAATGGCTATCAGTAAATACACATTCGTCATAACTGTCTTTTTACATAATTGGGAGAAAGAACTCACCTCTGAAAATTTTTAGATTATGCTCGTTTTGTAATACAATTTTTCAACTTTCAAACACCAAATGATTTTGGGGACTGATTAGAGTCCTAGTGGTCACGAGATTTCACAAATTTAACGATTTTGGTTCCGTTATACCTTTTTACTATGCAATTCATCAATAGTACAAAGCTTCATAACGTTAAAGAGTATTCGTCTATAGCTAATCCTATTTATTTTTATTTTTACAGATTTAAAAGCCAGTCGGGATATAGTATACATATTAGGTACAACATAGGTCCACGTTGTTTACATCAATATTTCACTGCAGCAGACTTTACCCTACACCTTTACGTTTGTAAAAAAACCTTGGGGGGACTTCTATTGCCTGTTCACTAAGACTACGCTCGAATTCGATTGTACTAGAGGTTCGATTCGACTAGAGGTTTTGTCATTACCACAGCCTGAGTAAAAGAACCTAAGTAACTTACTATGACTATGTTCGATTTAAGTTCCACTTTCAGTTACCACTACCCACTACCCCAAGTAGGGAAACCTATTAAGTTAATTTCATATCAAAAAGCCTCTGGATCGTTAAAGACGTCCTCAGCTTCGAGAGATTAAGAAACTTGGAGTTTTTAGACCTGATGTACCCATAAAGAGTACAGAACACTGTCTTCGACCAACTACACAGCAGCGCGGGTACATTGAACCTTAACTTAGCTAAGTAAGTTGACTACTGAGAGCAAACTCACCTCTACACAGAAGGTACACGAGCAGTGCTGCAGCGTCCACGTAAGGTGTTGAGGAACCTCATTGAGACAGAGTTTACACATCACATTGCTACGTTCACTCACATTGACGAAGCCCGTGGTGTTGATGGAGTATCTGGAGCTACTGGCCATAGACAGTATACTGGAGCACCTGGAGCACATGTTGGACATCCTCAGTCTGTTGACGGGTCTCACAGGGGGTACCATGGTGGATAACGTCACCGCCGTCTCGCACTTCCTCAGGGGTTCGCGAAGTAGAGGGATCGCCGTCACCGACTTGGCCGACGACGGAACACTCCGCACTTCCTGGGAGTTCAACGCCGTCGTCGACGAAGATCTTCTTCTACTCAGCGTCGCCATGGAGACGAGGTTTTTCAGGCTAGGCATCACCAACTTCCTCGCTACCTCTACCTCGTCCTCCTCTTCCTCCGGGAGCGCGCCGTACCCTCCGTACCAACTGCGGGCGACCACGGCCCGACGTGACTGGAGCTCGCTCTCCCACGATGCTCGACGCGACTTGGACCTTCGCACTGACGATGCCGCTGCCGCCGCAGCTACGCCGAGACTGCCGCCTCCGTCACCCGCCGCCGCCGCCGCTACCTCCGCGCAGGAGCTGGCAGCCATCCCCACCCGGCCTGCAACAACACACCACCGCCTTACATCAGGGAGGGCTGTACAGTGTACATAGTTGTTGTAATGATTGTTTGATTTTATCATTTTTGGGAACACATGACACAAGGAAAAGTATAAATATGTTAGCGTAAGCTACTCGATTTACAATACAGGGGAGATGGAAATTGTTAGCTATTGTCACAACATTTACACATCAAATGTGTAAATCTTTTTCATATAAATGTCTTATTTTAAAAAGTTACTTTTAAATTTAAACCAACAAAGGATGATAACTAAACGCTTTAAAACAAAACAGCGTCAATATTAATACAATATTACGTTTCTTAATTTAATCAATACATAAAATTAACAAATAACAGAATTTTAAAGAAAGCTTTATACACCTCAGTAAAAGTTGCAAGACTGTAAAATAACTTCAATTTATTCTAATACAAATTTAAGTTCATTTCAATTAATAAATTGCAAATATAATTTGAATCAAACATGATTGTGTCAATTCAATCCTCCATAGTAGATTTTATTATAAATGGTAGGCCTCCGCCTAACAGTGATTATTTTGAAGAATTACAACATAAAAGTATAGTAGGGTACCTAAAATTCGTATTGACTTTTATTAATAACCAGTTAAAAATCTTGGTAAAAATATAGTTTAATTAATTAAATAAATGGAATTACATAAGTGAAATGAAAACTTATTTGACGAAGAAAATATTAAAATCGTAAAAAGCACTTTTACCTGAAATGCATAATGTTAATCTAAAATATTTGGTAATGTAAATATGTAATGTTAAATTTTAGACAACATTTTTAGTAAATTAAATCATTATTTCCACCGTACAAATGAAAAAGTTCAAAATACTCTGGTGGTCATTCAGATGGTAAAATCATAGATTAAACATACTCCCTTAGGGAGTATGTTTAATCTATGGTAAAATACAGCAAATTAATGGAATTTTGGTAGTGCCTGCAATCCTTCCAACGCAACGCCATCACACTACTGTACTGCGGGAACAGTATCTTGTTGACGCACGGCGCTACATTAATGGCAAGATCAACACTCTGTGTCAACAACATTTATTTAAATATACTTAAAGCATTTATTTAAATGGTAAAGTGTATATATATTGTTCCATTTATTTTTAGGAAGTGCATAAGTACTATAAATTAATGAAATTCCAGTTTTGCAATAACTTACAGTAGCAAAGTTTCGTCAACTAAAAAAATTGCTATTTTATTGTTTTTTCATAAAACTTTGTTTGATTTTGTTTATAATTTTTTTTTTAGTACATCCATTTATTTAGTGTCGTTGATTCATTTAAGTTTATACAAATTTGCGTTAATCATTCAGTTTAAGACACATCAATTGCGTGTTATAATTACTTTTTGCTTAGTTGAATGTGATTAAAAAAGTTAATACGTCATTGTTTTATGAATACAATTCAAATTTTACTATAATTTTTAATGTTTACACTATTTTTACTGTTTGGTGGAGTAAATTAAAGTCTTCTGGTGTTAATGCAGTCATAACATTTAGACAAAAACTCTATAGTCACTCATTGTAAAAATTTCGAGCTTGAAAAAGATTTATCTGAATATCCCTATATTATCAATCAACCTTAGAAAAAACATATGCGTAATGCATTCTTTTCTACAGAAAAAGCTAATTTTTGAAAAGGTAGGGTATTTGATACTGTACATATTGTATACAGTATCAAGTACTATAAGGCCGACTTTTCCATTGACTATATATAGTCAATGGTAATACGAGTTTAGAGGAAGGATCAAATTATGGTTAGGTATTTAGTACTGGTGCACAATACATACTTGAGAAGTAAATCCTTCTTGAAACAACCACTGCCATTCTAAACACGAAAATAACTATTTTAAAGTAAAAAAAAAAAACTCACCTAACTATTGTATGATCTTGTAGGCGGCATCCCTTCTCTTGAACTGCGCATCACGAGACCTGAAAGTGAAAAATCGACACAAGTTAGGAAAATACATCCATTGACCTTGGAAACTGCAAGTTGTTATATCCTGCATCAAAATCAAACATGTATTTGTTTTAAATCCTGCTGAGTTTGAGTCCGTTGAAATCAACATGTTTTCCCTAAGGTTACTGTGCATATTTTACTATTTATTTATGAGCAATAAATACTTTATAAATAGATAGTTTGGTTAGTCCCAAGTTTTACAAAGTTGGCGAAATAACAATTGATCAATTGTTAGTATCAAACTCTACAAATACTAGTCAGAAACCTATCTCGAAATTGCATTTAGCTAATCCATAACAACGATAGACTCAGTATTTTAAATACAATTTATTTTTTTTAAAGAATGTCATTTCCATACCAACATCATTGGTAAAGTCCATAACTATTTACATTCATAGTGTACACAATGTTTTCGTTACTCTAACCACAATTTAAGTAGACTACTTCTCTACTCCAGCTGTGTCTAACTAACGTTGGTTGGTGATCATAATTGTTATTATGATCTTGCCCGTTATTCGTAATAGTGTAATTTCTTTATTGTTGTTATTTATATACAAGGTGGCTGAAAAGTAACTTACACCCCACATTAACGTTTCAACCATTTGAGATATTTAAAATCTGTTTGCGGCAACCTTAGTTATGAGGTGCTACAATAATTATGGTCAATTTTGAAAATTTTGCACTTAGGGGCAGCGGGGGTAGGGGGTAGCTCAAAATTTTCAAATGACAAGTATAGTCGAGTTTGGTATTATTTTACAGGTCTTGACGGAACATAAAAACTTACATAAAGAAAACCAAAATCGGCCATTTCGAAATTTTCAAAATTGACCATAATTATTGTAGCCCCTCATATCTGGTTACCGCAAAAATATTTCAAATATCTCAAATAGTTGAAAAGTTAAGGGGGTGTAAGTTACTTTTCAGCCACCCTGTATAAAGAGCTAAATAATACATCTATGATTGTTTTTAATTCGCAAATAGTATGACAATTCACGTTGTACAAACAAAAAATCGTAAAAACAATTTTGAGATTAAAACAGGAAAAAATTAGTTTATTAAAACGTTTTTATTAGGTCGCTTTCTTGTCCGCTACAAATTTTGCAACCGATTTTATACTAACTTCCCGATGAGCTAGGGACTTGAAACTTGAAACATATCTCACAAATGGAAGACAATGCAATATTATACAATTTAATTTTCATATTTCCCTTAGGCTACGCCCCATGGGCTTGTTTTTATTAAATCGATTTCTTGCAAATTTTGATACTTCCCGATGAGCTAGAGACTTGAAATTTGAAACATAGCTCACAAATGGATGACATTGCAATATTATATCATTTAATTTTCATATTTCCTTTCGGGCTACGCCCCATGGGCTTGTTTTTATTAGCTCGCTTTCCTACAAATTTTGATATCAATTTTAAACGATGTAACCGATAAGCTAGAGACTTGAAATTTGAAACATAGCTCACAAATGCATGACAATGCGATATTATATAATTTAATTTTCATATTTCCCTTGGGCTACGCCCCATGGGCTTCCAAATTTTTCATGTTTACATTTTGAAAGGATGTAAATATATCAACTAATTTAAGTCAGCTGTAAATACTTAAATTTGACAGTTCAAAAAGCAGAGGTTAAGAGGTACAGGTTCTGCTCCCAAGAGATTCTTTATACAAACAAACATTTCAAAATAAAGATAAACAATCTGATTGCAGATATAAAGGAGTTTGTTAATAATGTCATTTGTTATTTATTTAGTATTCTATAAAGTAAACAATAAATCAAATAGATTGATATATTTATAGTTAATAGTAGGCCATACATGCAATCTAATACATAATTATATGCAAAGAAACTCAAATAAACCTTGGATTTCCCACATGCCTCTGTCTTAATCTGATATAGACGCTTGAAATAGATTTAACATACACACACATTAAAACTAAAAAGTATAAAATAATTTATAAATAAAAAACTTTTTTAAACAAAACGTTTTTAAACGCCCTAAAAAGTACAAAATAATTTACAAATAATTTATAAATATGTTGAGAGAGTATAAATACTTGTACGATTTAAAACGAAAAACGTGGGGTGCATGCAATAGATAGTTTACAATTACCTTCACCTACTGAACTAATGTATTATTATAAATTAATTGCATGCACCCAACGTTTTTCGTTTTAAATCGTACAAGTATTTATACTCTCTCAACATATTTATAAATTATTTGTAAATTATTTTGTACTTTTTAGGGCGTTTAAAAACGTTTTGTTTAAAAAAGTTTTTTATTTATAAATTATTTTTATTTGATACGAGATTCTTATAAGGCAAATCTCGGTGTTACAAAACTGGTTATAATGTTCACGAATATAGCGACTGGGAATCATGTTGATATATTACATGTTATGAATCATAATACCATATTAATAATTTTTAGTAAAACTAATGGTTATGTACAACTTTTCAAGGTATGTAAATGCAGCCACTTGTTTGATAAATTTTGGTGTGGCATTAATTTCAGCTGACTGCTATAGACTGAATGTATCAACGTACATGTTATGTTTAAACTACGTAATTAGTGACACAAAACTTTGACACCATTGTATGCTAGAATGTAAGCATTAATTACTCAACCACTAATCTAAACAACGTATGGCACTTGAAAATAAATCTCCATCCTTCATAACTTATCGACTCTATTTTGGTCTTTCACGAATATAAGTTTTTGGCTGTTGACTACAATTTGTAAACGAAATAATGAGAGAACGAATCGATCTAAATAGAACAAAAAACTTCAATTAATTAACAAGCCATCCCTTAGCTGAAAGGGGGTGGGTGAATTGTCTTTGATAAGCACTTTGGATAATTACTCTAATGGCAACATCGATTGGCTGTGAAACTAGTTTATTGTAAACACTGAAAAACTACTACACGCCTTGACTGTCAATCGTGGAAAATATAAAAACTTAATACAAATAATACTTGTTAGTTTTACCATAACACATCGTAACATGTAAAAGATTTGAACAAATCGTGTTTTCCCCTCTGGGGACATCAAAATGAAAAAGTGTCTAGGGTCTAGGTCTTGCTATCACATCTACGGTAATAGCTTCTTCTTTAAACATTAATTCGCTAAAAACAAAAACGCTAAATATTGAAAATATAATTGAAAGGTAATTTAATGTCTTAAAAAATTAGCTAAACTCTATAAATTGCAACAAATAAATTTAACCGAGATTCTTAAATGAAAATATAATGTTACGAACACATCCAATATATGTAATGATATAATTTGATCGTTATACAAATTGTAATAAAGTATCCAATAAAACGAGGTTAGTCAGCGAGCACAATAATTGCGGATAAATGCATTGACAGAACAGAGTTTATCTTCTTTGGACACGCAAGACCCGTCGACTTGGTGCAGTGGTGTTGTATACTCAGTCTCAGTATAGAGGTTGGATTCAAGCATTAGAGGTTGGACCAACAGGAAAGCTATTTATTTGTAAAACACTGGCTTTCAAGAATTTGCTACTACTCATGTTAGCGTAGATATATCGAATTTCAACGAAGGATTATTTATAGATTATTTCACTGTTGATTAGAAAGATTTTGTAAGAGTTAAAAAAATTAGCCAAATGATTACGTTGACTGTAGTAAAATACTGAAAATATTAATTTTTTTATATCTCAAAATTGTATACAATGATGATATTTTGGTAAAATAAGATATCACAGATTCATAATCCGTTTAATAAGGAGAGGATTTAACGATATTGACATAGCTGGGACTTTTTGCAATACACCATGGGAGGGTCGGCTGGTTAAGCGGTTATATGTTTAATGTCATTATTCAAAATATCGGTGAATCGCAAATTTGTAGAACAAATAAAACTATTACTGATAGCAAGTAAATAGTGATGAGACATCCAGTACCATACTAACATGTTTAACTCTAAGTTTGTTTTCCAGTCTATAATATCTCTTTAGGATCACAGTGTAGTTCTTTATTCACCAAAGAATTATGACTATGTAACAAGAACGTAGCCCAGTGGTTCAGATCCCACCATTACTAGTCCGTCTCCTGACCAAGAAACCAAAACGTATAGGTGTTCGATGAAGGATACATTTTTCTATATTTACAAACTCCTTTCTCTATAAGCCAAACTAATTATTTATTATGGTCATAACCGCAGACTAGAGAATACGTACCACGCCGTCTGTGGTATAACATTATGTATTTATGTATAACATTAACATGAAACTATTAGGATTATAGTTTTATGTTAACTATACTCCTATAGTTTGGAAGAAATTGGTTATATGATGAAGTTATTTAGTTTATCGCTATGACTGGGTGTTATAAGACTCGGCGGCGACTGGCACAAACATTGATCAGTATGTTGGGTCCTAACCCGTCGCAGGCTAAATTATCGCATCAACATAAAAATTGATACTTTATTGTTGTCTCTAAATTGTATCTTTCAAGCTACAAGTCAATAATGACTATGACTAGAAAGGTTATTTCGTTTTTTTAACAGTAAAGACACACATTTACACTCTCTGAACCCTCTAAACCCAGGCCATACGGTTGGTAATATTCTTTCAGATACAACAATGAGTTTAAAATAAATGGAAGTTGATAAGTAAAAGGTAAAAACGAATCTATTGTTAAGCATTTTTAATTTAATTAATTTTTAATCTATGTCACTGAACAAATAACAAACACGCTGTCAGCTTTCACAGACGTCAGCCGACATATTCTATTTATGCGGTTAAGACTGTAATTGTTTCCATTCAACTGTAGTGAAGCAGAAATGTTGTTTTTGGGTAAATTATTCAGGGGACTAGTTTTCAAGCGAATAAAATAACTTCAAATTCAGTTTCAAATTCAATCCCATCTCATTTAAGTAAAAAGGCATTTTGTAAGCCTACTTTATGAGAAACTACTGCGCAAGCTGCGCGGGAC